TTTACTCGTTCTTGTGATGAATTTCTGATTGTTTACTTTTCTTTAAGGCTGTTATTGAAACTGTTATTGCAGGGGGAAACATTTATGTTAAAAGTGTTATGTTAATATTTAATTTAACATTTCGAACTTAAAAGTCTTATACGTGAACTTTATACATATGTGTTGGGGAAATGTTTTACACTGTTATGTTAAACTTGCAGTCACTGTTTAAAAAATAACATTAATTTTAACCAAAGGATATTCTGTTGATTGTTGTGAAAAGAAATGTTATATTTATAACATTAAAACTTTAAGAACAGCTGTTAAGAAATGTACATTTATGATTTGTTCCACCATAAAATACTGGCAATGTTTTTATTTTAATTATAAAAAAGGAAATTTTCTTTATTGAACAGAATTTATTGAAAATTTTAAATTAAAAATGTATAAGAAATGTTATTTTTATTGATTATTTTTTTATTATTTGAATTTGTACTTCTCTATATCTCTTTGTAAAGTCGTAACGGCTCCAGATTTTAAGTTTTCAGTATATACAGTAGCGGGCATAAAAAACGCAATGTACTTTAATTCCAAAATAATGCTAATTAATACAGCATTTTTGTTCCTTTCCTTATTAATTACATTCTACTGATTCTATATCATCTGCGGTCAATGCAATAAAGGCACAGACATCAGTAGTGAGCAAATTATGAACGATTTAATCATCTTGCAAATGGAGTTTTCCAAGGAAGAACACTACTGTTTCATTTCTTTGCTTTTTCTGTAAATTTGTTTAGATCAAAGAGCAGTCTGGTTTTAAACATGGATTGCTATTTTCTCGAGCTTTAATAATACATGGTTGATCTTATATATAAATTACATAATTTTTATTAAAACAGATTGAACACCGATATTTCGGTTGTGTGGGGGCTATATGAAATAATGAACCAATTTTCACCCTTTTCAATCAACTTCGACCTTGTTGTAAATAATTTTTGTCGAATTAGCCTTGTGGCACAAGATTAACATGGACAACCAGCCGGACAGGCATTGCATATCGTATCAACAGCAAGAAACTTTTAAGAACAAAATATCCATTCATCTGAAGTCTAAAAAGAAGCTAAAATAAAGGTCTTAATAATATTCAGACTATGTGACCAAAAAGGAACCAAAACTTACTACCAATTAATAGGTTTCAAATTTTCACTATCATTCTCATTTCCGACAACAAAATAGATTCCTATGAAATGGATTCAATGAATTCAACGAACCCTAGGCTGGTATCGTCTTGTTGTTCATTTTTTTTACATGAAGAAATTGGTAAAGGAATTATCGTCGGATGCTTAGAAACTAATTAACCTAGACGTTGTTCTCTAAAAATTGCCAATAAGTGTTCCTGATTTAATATCGCTACCATGGGGTTTGGATGTGTATAGTCCTGTGTATCCAGTCAGAATAAGTACCATTTAACTAGTCTCGGATTAAGTGTCACTGAGACGATCGTTATTATAGTGTTCCAATATTTAACGAATCTTTCCCACGTTTTCGAATTCGCTCTCCTAAGAAGAGTCTCCTTGCCTCAAACTGTTTTCTTTTTGAATTTGTTAATCTATCTTCTAGAACTAAAAGATAGATAGAACACTTGTTAGTGGCCTAGGTGTCCTAGGTGTCAAACTAACTAACTAACTAACTACTAACTAACTAACTAACTAACTAACTAACTAACTAACTAACTAACTAACTAACTAACTAACTAACTAACTAACTAACTAACTAACTAACTAACTAACTAACTAACTAACTAACTAACTAACTAACTAACTAACTAACTAACTACTACTAACTACTAACTAACTAAACTAACTAACTAACTAACTAACTACAACTAACTAACTAACTAACTAACTAACTACTACTACTAACTAACTAACTAACTACTAACTAACTAACTAACTTACTAACTAACTTTAACTAACTCACTAACTACTAACTAACTAACTAACTACTAACTAACTAACTAACTAACTAACTAACTAACTAACTAACTAACTAACTACTAACTAACTAACTAACTAACTAACTAACTAACTACTAACTAACTAACTAACTACTAACTAACTAACTAACTAACTAACTAACTAACTAACTAACTACTAACTAAACTAACTAACTAACTAACTAACTAACTAACTAACTAACTAACTAACTAACTAACTAACTAACTACTAACTAACTAACTAACTAACTAACTAACTAACTACTAACTAACTAACTAACTACTAACTAACTACCTAACTACTAACTAACTAACTACTACTAACTAACTAACTAACTCTACTACTAACTACTAACTAACTAACTAACTAACTAACTAACTAACTACTAACTAACTAACTAACTAACTAACTAACTAACTACTAACTAACTAACTAACTAACTAACTAACTAACTAACTAACTAACTAACTAACTAACTAACTAACTAACTAACTAACTAACTAACTAACTAACTAACTAACTAACTAACTAACTAACTAACTAACTAACTAACTAACTAACTAACTAACTAACTAACTAACTAACTAACTAACTAACTAACTAACTAACTAACTAACTAACTAACTAACTAACTAACTAACTAACTAACTAACTAACTAACTACTAACTAACTAACTAACTAACTAACTAACTAACTAACTACTAACTAACTAACTAACTAACTAACTAACTAACTAACTACCTAACTAACTAACTAACTAACTAACTAACTACTAACTAACTAACTAACTAACTAACTAACTAACTACTAACTAACTAACTAACTAACTAACTAACTACTAACTAACTAACTAACTAACTAACTAACTAACTAACTAACTAACTAACTAACTAACTACTAACTACTACTAACTAACTAACTAACTAACGAACTAACTAACTAATAACTACTAACTACTAACTAACTAACTAACTAAACTACCTAACTAACTAACTAACTAACTAACTACTACTAACTAACTAACTAACTAACTAAACGAACTACTAACACTAACTACAACTAACCTAACTACTAACTAACTAACTAACTAACTAAGTACTACTAGTTTGTATTTGTTACGGACAATAGAGGCTACTATCGGAACTGTTGTGCTCTCTTTTACATGAAATTTTGTGGAAAAAAGATTATATGGAGCTCTAAGAAGGTGTTATTGTCCGATGTTCACAAACTCCTGGATATACATAGTTCCACAGAATTTTCCAATCAGTGTTCCTGAAGGATGTAATATGTGGAACCACATCACTTCTAAGACGTTAAGATTAACTTTAAAGAAATCCTTGCAAAGAAACTATTACGTGTATCCACTCAGAAAACGTACCACTCTATTAATATCAGACTAGCTCTTTAAGGTCAGTTTAAAGGTTCATTGCGGTTCTACACAACGGCTTTGCATTCGTTAGGTAAACTTCCTTATTCGATCTTGCGTTGCCGTCTAATTCCCTATTGGCCTAGTCTTAAATTTCTGCATGTCTTTCATACGTATCATTGCGTTAAAATATTGAAGTATGTTTTCTAAAGTAACAATAGCTTAGATTTGCGCTAATCCGAAAATGAAGCACCCATATACATAATAAATAGTTAATAAAGTAGAATTAAACAATAATAGAGACATGTTAATAATTAGAACATGGAATGGCATGTGCTACATTTCCAATCTTGCTCATCATTTCTATACACTTGTTACATGGAAAAAAAAAATTTAAATGTAACAGAAATTTAAAAAAATTTAAAAATCACTATTAACAGTAACAAAGTTTACTAAAAAGAAAGGAGTTAGTAATAATAATTTAAGAAAATTTTTAAATATTTTTTTTAATAATTATTTGAGTACCTATTAAAGTCTAATAAGACTTTTTAGTAAAATGATTTGTATTTAAAGATTTTTCTTAAGATTTGGACCAAACTTGAGCATTTTACAATGTCAAATGATATAAAACAATTTAACATAAAGTTTGTTAGTTTTTGTTGTAAAAGAAAAGAAAATTCATGAGTTTGTAAATGCATATAACTCTCCTGCGTATGGAGCAAAAGTAAAATATGTTGACTGAGAAAGAAGAGCACTTTAACTTATTGAATAAAGACAAAGAGCAGCCAGCAAATACTTTGACTGAGTATTTCTGTATATATGGTATTTTGCGATTTTATTTGGCCGAGAGTATAAAATAAAGTTGGCCTGATGGTGGCTGCTGTCTGAGCAGTTTTGCTCAATATTTGTTAGCAACAGCAAAATGTATCTCAACAACATTTTCCATACAACATCCATACAGTTAGCAGCAATCGATGGTTGAGGGTTTGTTTTGTTTTCGTAGTTGTTGTTGTTGGTTGGTTTTCTTCTCGTACTTTTATTGAAAATATTATTGTATTTTAACATTTTTGCCATTTGTATTTAGTGTGTATAGAGTTTAAAAAGTACTGTGTGCAGAGTGCGAGTACGAGACGAGTATCGCAAAGATACTATACTCTACGATGAGTTGTTGTTAGCCATTCAGTTAGGCAGCCAGCCAGCCAGCCATATAACGAACGAACAAATTTCTGTAGATATTGTTTTTGTTGTTTTGGTTTGTATCTGTTTGTTGTTTGTTGCTTTTTTAGATGATGATGATGGTGGTGCGCAGCACCAAAACTTTTATGCTCTAGTTCGAATCTTGGCGTATAACGTTGCGCCAGGACTTTTTTTCATTTCATTTGATACAAATATAATAATTGTATTTTTACAACAACTACAACAACAAAGACAATAAGAACAACTACAACTACAACAGCAGCAGCAAAAGAACGAAAAGCATTTTATACTCTTTTGCCTTCTTATAAAATACAAAAACTACGACGTCAACTAAAAAAAGCGTTTTTTTGTTATTATTGTATTTGCTCAGGTTGTTGTTGTTGTTTTTATTTTAGTTGGTATTTTGGTTTGTTGTATTCTTGTACTTCTACTTAGTATTATACATTTTTTTGGATACACTTAACTTTACTTGAAAACTTACACACAACAGACGACCGACCGTTTTTCGAACGACGTCAAAAAATATAACAACATCGACGACTACAACCTCGACTACGAGACAAAGTATTCAAAAATTTTTATTGTAGATTTTTGAGTATATATCGCAAAAGAAAAGTAAACGAGCAAAAAAAAAAAAACGTAATAAAAAAATACAACAAAATAACACTATTTGACTCGATTTCTTGTGTCTATAATTTTTATATATATAATTCAATTTTTTTTATCTGGTTATACTGTTCTTTAATATTTTTTTATGTTGGTGTGTGTACTTTTCAATGTTTCTGTGTATCTTCTACTTCATTGTACAATTTTCATCGTTTTCATCGTCATCAGCAGGAATAAAAATTTTATGCTGGTAAAAAAATAAGAGTTTTTTTTATATAGAAACAAAAAAATAATCAAATAAAATGTAAACCTTATAAAAAAATAAAAATGATTTTAAGAAGCTCATAAAAGTAAAAAATGCAAAAGTAAAACACAAAAAGTATAAAAAAATAAAACGTAAGCAAAGAAAGCCAGGAGCAAGCAGCAGTTTTATGGCCATAAAGGATAATTTTGCAACTAACGAATCTCAGTACAGCACGAAAAAACGGTTTAAACTCTACAAACATCAGGCTAGCTTCAGTAACGAAACGAAAGCATTAGAATCTGTAAATAAAATCGTTAAAAGTTCAGCATAAATAACCAAAAAAAAAAATTGCAAAAAAGTTAAATTTACATAAAATTAAAAAAATCAATAAATTCCCTCAAAAAAAAAAATTACAAAAATCCCTTTAAATTTCAAATAAAACAAAAAATTATTGCCAAAAAAAGTGCGTGTTCCGTGTAAATAAACATTTAACGTTCGTTTGTATCCAGCAAAAACCCATTTATTTATTGTTCTATTCAAACAGGCCTGGGAGTGCGTAAAATACGCGTGTGTGTAAGTGCGTGTGTGTGTATAAGAGCTATGCATGGCCATGTCTGCATTACTATATTTGTGTATGTGTGTAATGAGCCATTAAAGTGCAATAATTTATAGTCAAAACCCTCCCCTTTACTTTAAACAACAACGTTTTTAATTTCAAAATACAAGAAAATATTAAAAAAAAAATATTTAAAAAAAAGCATTTAAAATTTTGTTTAAAAAAATATAAATGTCTCAAAAATAATGGTGCTAATTTTATGGTGCATTTAAAAGTTTTAAATAAAAGAAGAAAAAATATATTCTAACAGATAAAAAAAATCAACGAAATTTAAAAGCCGTCGGTAATTTGTAAGCTTTTTTTTGCATTGCAAATTATTGAATTTTTTATTCCACTCAATTTTTGTTTTGCATAAATGTAGTTGTTTTACAAATGGATACCTGTCTCACTTTAAAAAACAGGTGAGTTTGTTTTTTTTTTAATTTTTTAACAAGTTGTTCTACACTCTCTACAATACATACAAAAAATTGCCTTTAAAAATTGCCTTTTCAAATTATTTCAAGTGACAATTAAAACAATTGTTTATAATGTGACAAATATTTCAAGTGTATCCATATCATTTGATGTTTGCTGCTGTTGTTGTAGTTGTTAAACAATTAATTAAATTGTTTGTAGTTTAAAGTTAAATGTAATTAAATAAATTTATGCAATTTAAAGTATAAATATAAAAATATTCTGTGTTAATTTTAATTAAATCTAAAATTTTTATCAGTTTATAAGTTAATTAAAGAAAATTAAAAATATTTATTAGATAAATATAAAATTTAAATATACAGGATAATTTTAGAAATTTATTGGGAACTAATAAATACTAGAACGGGTGTAAACGTAATTACTTCAGCAACTATGGAACTATGGAATTATATTTCTTTGAACCCGTTTTATGGAACGGATATTTCTAAGAAGTTTTGAAAGTTTTAGTTATGAAACGGAACGAATATACCGAGAGTTTTGCATTTACAGTCGTTTATCCTTTATGAAAACATTTTAACAGGAAATATTAGCGACTGAATGAATAATATAAAAGAAAAAATATCAGGAATTATTCCAAAAAATGTTTATTTCTTCTAAATATAACTGAGCTAATGATAACAGCCATAGACCTTATGACAAAAGTGTCACAATGTCCAAGAGCAATGCGACAGAAAGACCATGGATTTCAAAGAGTGCATTTATCAAAAAATGGTTTATCAAAGGCGGTATTTGAAATTCCCCAGAATTCGAAACCCCTGCGCCCGGCCGAAGGCCAGCTATTCAGGACACTTGTTAAAAGGAATCCAAAATGCAACATACACCAAATTTAGGAGCAATTCTTTTTGGGATAAGTGTGTCCCTTTCTTAAATTCTAAACAAATTTTCCAATACATTTCTGTTTTAAAAGTGTTAAAATGTCCATGGACATTATGACATTTAAAAAAAGTGACATAATGTCCATGGACATTATGTCGCTTTAAGGTGTGTCATAAGGTCTATGGACATTATGACACTGAACATAATGTTGTAAATATTGTAAATATTAAAAATTATATTATAACCTAATTTACCGAGCAGGCTGACGATGACCATACGCCTTTGTAGTGTAGCACACCAGAATCTCTGGTGGGAATCGAACCGACAACCCCCAGACTGACAGGCTAGCACATTACCAACTAGCTTACCGGGTCACCCTAATAAATATTATTTTTGAATGGAAGAATGTAAAATACTATACAAAAATTAGTCAATACTTATTAGAAAAGGTGCTAAAAAGACTCTTTTAGAAGAGTCGTTTATGATTCTTGAATGAGCACAAGACCTTATGATTATTTTAATAATATTTAAGGTTCATAACTTAAAAAACTGATTGCTGATTGCGATAAAATAAGGAAATAAAAAAGTAGCATCACCCATCAATTTTTTCCACATTTTCATCTTTTAGTCCTTCTGACTGTATATATACTTGAGTCCCAAATATAAAATTCTGTAATTTTATAGAAGTTCCAAATAGTGGCCGTCTCTGTCTCTAGACTTATTCTTTAAATAGGAAAATTTCCTAATAAAACCATGTTTACATTATTACATTAAATATTTTTGTATTTACTTATGTATATGTGGGATTTTATCCTCATTTGGGGTAAAGTCTTAAAACGGAAACCTTTCAAACGACAGTTTCAAAACTACAGATTCAAACTTTTAGGAATTTTACTAAGCTAATTTTAAGTCAATATCTCCAACATATTAGCGATACCTGCGATTGGAATTTTGACGATTTCGAAGAAATTTTTTTTTGTTAAAATTTAAAAAAAGACATGCTTTATTTTTTACATTTATGCATTTTATATAAAACTTTTTTAAAACATATATTTCAAGATAATAGAAAACATATATCTGAAGTTTTAGTAAAATCGAATAATGTTAACCCATGAACTGCGAAGATCAATCTCAAGCTATGCCATATTGGGAAACTTTTTTTAAACCATACTGAAATATTATTTGGTTTTCAACCGATTTAAATAAAACTTAGGAAAAATAAATAATGGAGATCCGTATTTATGATGACATCGAAAAATTGAAATTAACCTTTAAACGTAAATATATTTTTATCTATATATATAAAACTCTTACGTTACCGACTGATTCACTGATTGATTCATCATCGCACAGCCTAAACGGTTGAAGCTAAAGAGCTGAAATTTGAACAGGAGGTTGGTCTCCCACCAAACAGATCCACTAAGACGGGATTTTTGGAAATTCGAATGTTTAGGGGGTCAAAAACGGGTAGTTTCGGTAACCTCATAACTCCTAAACTAGAAAAGATACAAAAACAGTTTAAGCTTATCGTCGTTAATTTAAAAAATAAGCGGTAGGGTGTCTGGTACTTTTTTCAAATTCGGCTCCTTTAGGGAATAAACGGGTAAAAACTTTTTTGCACCCCATGTATCTTTTAAACCAGTGAACATTCAAACAATATTTTTGACACCTTTATAACTTGACTAAAAATAAAAATATGAATTTAGAACTTTTTGGATATTCGGACGTTTAAGGGGTGAAAATTGTACCTATTTTTGGTACTTTTTTTCATAAAACATTGTTTTTAGTTTATTAACTTATACTTATATGAATACCTACATAATAACGAGCTCCCACTACGATGTTGCAACTTTTTGGAATTACCAAAGGGGTAAAAACGGGAAATTTGATTTTATTCAAACACAATGATCCAATTAAGATAAAATTTTTATATTAAGAAACACTAAATATGCTAATGTGGTGTTATTTGGAACCCCGGTACGGTGATATTTTTTGGTACTTTTTCATCCTTCAACTGGTACCTTTTGAGTTTTCTATGATATTAAAATCGAAACATGAAATTAATAATAAAGAGATTTTTCGGTACTTTTTCGTTCCACACAGGTACTTTTTTGAGTTTTCTTTAAAATTAAACCTAGAAACATGAAAAGTTTTCTATGAAATTTAACCTATAAACATGAAATTAAGTATGTAGAACCCGGAGTAAATTAGAACCTATAAAAGGGGACTTTTTGGTACTTTTTCGATCTTCAAAAGGTACTTTTTGAATTTTCTATAATATTGAACCTAGAAACATGAAATTAAGCACGTAGAGCTCGTAGTAAGTGAGAACATATAAAAGATTACTTTTTCGTTCTTCGAAAGGTACTTTTTGTGTTTTTTTATAATATTGATCCTAGAGAAATGAAATTAAGCATGTGGAGCCCGGAGTTAATGAGAATCTAAAAAAGGGCCCCCTTTCGTAATTTTTCGTTCTTCAAAAGGTACTTTTTGAGTTTTATATTGTAATGAACCTAGAAACATAAAACTAAGCTATAAGGAGTGAATTTAACTGGAGTATTTTCTGGTACGCTTTCGTACTTGAACTGGTACTTTTTGAGTTTTCTAAAATATTGAATATATAAACATAAAATTAAACAGGCAGTATCCTAATTGAACGAAAATTTAAAAAGGATACTTTCAGGTACTTTTTTTTTATTTTACTAATACTTTTGGAATTTTCTATAATATTGAATCTAAAGTTGAACACACAGCTTCCTGATTGTATAAAAATCTGTATGCGATTAATTTTTGATTTAATGAAAATCTATAAAAAGGCACTGTCTGGTACTTTATCGGTCTTCATATTGTATTTAAATTAATATTTTTAGTAAGTTGCAATGATATTAATTTTTTCATAAATTTGCCCTTAATCATATAATTCTCGAGATTTAAATATGGGGGTTGGTCGTGAACACATATTTTCCATAAATATAAGTATTTACTTTTGTATTTAAAGAATTGAAATTTGACAATTTCGTTTCTTATTTATTCACAAATACTTGCCAAGTTAAAGCAATATTTTAAAAATTTTAACAGAATTTTCTCAAAGACTACTTTGTTTAAAATAATTAAAAATAAAAATTTTATTTACTTGTACCCTGTCCAACACAAATATTATAAATTAATATAATAAACATTAATAACATGTCAAATATGACATTTCACTTGTAGCAATACATGATTTTAACAATAAATATTTTTACATATACACATACATAGATAAATAAATATTTGTGTATAAATGTGTTGATTTATATAGTTTTTTGTCAAATAATATTCAACTAGATAAACAAATGTTTTCAGCTACAATTTCCGTAACAAAATGTCAACAAACATAAAAAAACTCACAAAATAAAAAAAAAACAAAAATCATAAAAATAAATTAAGAGATTAACTAAAAAATGAAACTGTGCTGGAGGAAACAAATCGATCGAACAAGCAGCTAAATATTTAGACCAAAAAAATCCATACACAATAGTATTGTTTTATAGAAAAAAAAAATTCTAAAAAATATACATAGACATTTAAACACAAAGTGCCATGAGGCTAAAAGAAAGGTGAGTGGATGGATGGATGGATGGTTTAATGTTGTTAAAAAAAACTGATGCATAAAATATTTCACAAGCGGCATTCTTTTTTTTATAAAAAAAAATTGTTGTAATTTTATTTTTGATGCATTTTGATAAACTAGAAAGAATAATTAAAAAGATATAAAATTTTTTATTACTTATTTTGCTATTTAAGTAAAAAAATACATAAATTAACTAAATACGGCTTTAGTTGTCGTCCTGCTTTTAGTATTTTGTTGTGTTTTATTTTTACTTAAAGACTTTTAAGAGCATGAAAACCCAAATAGAATTTCTGTTAAATGTTTGTAATGTGGTGTGGCTCTGTTGATTTAATTAATTTATGATGACGCGAATCATTTAATATTGAGGTGGGAAATGTTGTATTAATAGGGTGCCCCAAGTGTGAAATTTCTGATTAAGTTATTGAGTTATATTTTTAAGCGAATTGTGGACATTTAACTCATTTTCTGAAGTGGTCAAGTAAGAGCCGATCATTACAA